ATATATCTCCTTCCTTGATTTATCAGCACTTAAAATCAATTCCTTGGGCTGGGAAGGTGGCTCAGTGGTAGACTGTTTGCCTTGCATGCACGAGGCCATGGGTTCAATTCCTCAGCACCACATAAGCAGAAAAAGCCAGAAGTGGCACTGTGGCTCAAGTGGTAGAGCACTAACCTTGAGCTGAAGAGCTGAGGAACAGTGCTCAGGCCCCAGAGTTCAGGCCCCATGACCAAAAAAAAAAAAAAAAAAAAAAAAAAATCCTAGCTATTAAGTCTAATCTTTTTACTTGGATATCTAAAAGGATTTCTTCTTTCTACTAGGGATCCTTTCACAAGGGGTTCTGTATGTTTCTCTCAGGTGGGTGTGATTTTCTCTCCAGTTTGGGGAATGTCTCTTATTTGACTCGATAGGTTTTCTATGCCTTTAGTATTGAAATATTCCCCTTCATTAATCCCAATTATGCATAAATTTGATCTCTTGGAAAGTCTGCCAATTCTTGGATTTAGCTTTGATAGGTTCTGAATGTTTTTTTCGATACCTTTGACTTTCTGTTCAGGCTCCTCTGTTTTATCCTCAACTCCTGATATTCTCTTTTCCATTTCACTTATTCTGTTACCTAGGCATTCCACTGTGGTTTGCAATGAGAAAATCGAGCCTGTTATGCTTCTGAGTTTTTTTGGTTGAGGGGCTTGAATGCTGGGTCTGGGTACTGTCCCTCAGCTCTTCATCTCAAGGAGAGTATTCTACCACCTGAGCCATGGTGCAACTTCCTTTTCTGGTGACTCATTGGAGATGAGTCTCATGGACTTTTTTGTCCAGGCTGGCTTTGACCCGTGATCCTCATATCTCAGCTTCCTGAATAGCTAGGATTACAGGTGTGAGCCACCTGCGCCAGGTTATACTTCTGAGTTTTTTGTTGAGATCAGTTCTCACAGTGTTAACTTCATCATTAATGAGTTACAAAATGTTTCTATTTTTATCTCCAACACTTTTTGGGAGTCCCAGATCTTTTCTGTCATTTCTTCTTTGTACACTTGAAATTGTTTTTGCATTTCCCCTTTTATTTCTTTGGCTGATTCTGTCATCAATTCTTTTGTCATTTCTCCTTCACTTTCACTGGGGTCCTTCCCTGTATGTTTTTATTTTTTTATTTTTTTTTGTCCTCATTGTTCATGACTCTTGTCATCTTTCATTGTGATTTATGTATCTGGGCTCAGGGATTGCCAGAGCTGTGTTATGAACTTGGTGTGCTAGTGGTGGCCCATGCATGGCCTGGGCTCCCCCGCCCCCCCCCCCGGGTGAACTAGCCCACACCAGGTTCCCCAGGTGGCAAGCCCTTGCATAAGTGTGCTGGCCTTGTCCCAGGCCAACGAGTTCTCCGCTGCCAGGTGAGTACTTGGTTGTCTTGGGGAGGAAGAGGTTGGGGGGTGGGATTCAGGCCTCTGGGTTGGGCATGAGGCTTTGGGAGGGGTGGGCTTCCCAAGCTGCATGGGAGTTTGTGTTAACTTCAAACCAGTAAGTTTGTGCTGCCAATAGCCAGTGCTGTGGATGATCCAGGGTCTTAGTGCCTTTCACTGTGAATCCTGGTGGTCTTCCACCGTAAGCCAACAGGTAGGGGGAGGGGAGAAGAGCTCTGCCCTCTGTCTTCTTCAAGTGAGGTATCCTTTCTTGGGTGGGAGAGAAGGGTCCAAGCCCAAATCTCAGGGTTGCCACCAGCAGTGTTCTCCCAGGGAGAAAGGGTCCCCAGCAAGGTACTCTGTGATCTGGAGGTGGTTGTGGGCTGATGGCAGTGATGTGAAAGCTCTTTGGGTCTGGATGTCCTAGTCACACGTTGCTGGTCTGTGTCACTGTCTGCACTAGCCAGGCACCAGGTCTGGGGAAGTTTTCTGTGTCTGGATGCTGCAGTCTCACTGGTCAGGTCCCAGGGTCCAGGTCAGCCATGGTGCTGCTCTTGTGGCCTGGCAGCCTTGTTGGCACTGAATGAGGGGTTAGGGGAAGGTGCTTTGTGGTTTTCCAACCTTGTAGCATACCAGTTATGAGCAATTTTTCCCTTCTGTTCCCGTTTCTCTATTTGTATACATATTTTTTTTCTCAATCTTGTGGGAAGAAGTATATGTTAGGACCCTAAATCTCTGGATATAGACAGCTAGGGTTTTTCCCTATCGCTTTGCTGCCATCTTGTCTCCAACAAAGTACTTTTCAAAAGTATGCCTTAAATTTCAATTAAGGCCAGTACTGGTGTTTAGCATATGTTATCTTCTCAGGAAGTTAAGGTTTGAGGACCATGGTTTCTGAGCAGACAATCTGAGAGTCTTTTCTCTCATTAACCAGCAAGAACTAGTAGTGGAGGTGTGGCTCAAAAGGGCACCAGCCTTGAGCAAAATAGCTAAGGGATAACATCCAGGCACTCACAAACTCTCCTGCCTGGGTTGGCTTCAAACCACAGCCCTCAGATCTCAAGCCTCCTGAGTAACTCCGATGACAGACGTGAGCCACCAGCACCCAAAAATTGTTCTAGTTATTATCAGAAATATCTATAAATTGTATTTGCTTGTTTGCTTTTTTTTGGGGGGGGGGGGGGGTCTGGTCGTGGGGCCTGAACTCTGGGCCTGGGCACTGTCCCTCAGCTCTTCAGCTCAAGGCTAGCACTCTACCACTTGAGCCACAGCGCCACTTCAGCTTTTTTCTTTTTGCTTATGTGATGCTGAGGAATGGAACCCAGGGCCTCAGGCATGCAAGGCAAGCGCTCTACCACTGAGCCACCTTCCCAGCCCTATAAATTGTATTTATGTAGTATGTTGAATACTGCTTCATAGGAAACATTAGATATGCAACCACATATATTTCAATACAGAAATATGTGCTGGGTGCTGGTTTTACCACTTGTGTGGCATTGCTGTTTTACTACATTGTACCCTCACAATGTGGACAGCACTGGGGAGAGTTTAGAGGTTCCAAAAGCTGTGTCAGGTGTGATTTCAAATGAACATTCTAGATCCTCAACCTTTATAGAGCCTAACTGTGTCATTGCTTTCTGTCAGGAAGAATTAGACAAAAATGAAGGAAAATGGCAGGGTGCCAGTGGCTCACGCCTGTAATCTTAACTACCCAGGAGGCTGAGATTTGAGGATTGCGGGCAGGAAAGTCCGTGAGACTCTTATCTCCAATAAACCACTAGAAAGCCAGAAGTGGCTCTGTGGCTCAAGCGGTATAGCACTCACCTTGAGCTGAAGAGCGCAGGGACAGCCCCCAAGCCAAGTTCAAGCCCCACAACCAACAAAAAAATAAAATAAATAAGGAAAATTTATCTGAATAAAAATCAGGAATCGTTCAGTACTTTTTTTTGAAAGAAGATATTTTATTTACTAACAGGAGTACATTCTGAATACAGAAGTAGCAAAATTGAATAGCAGCATCTAATCATCCTTGAGAAAATGCTATTCTGGGGCTGGGAAGGTGGCTCAGTGTTAGAGTGTTTGCCTTGCATGCATGAGGCCCTGGGTTCAATTCCTCAGCACCACATAAGCAAAAAGAAAAAGCCAGAAGTGGCGTTGTAGCTCAAGTGGTAGAGCACTAGCCTTGAGCTGAAGAGCTGAGGGACAGCGCCCAGGCCCAGAGTTCAGGTCCCACGACCCGACCGGAAAAAAAAAAAAAGAAAATGCTATTCTGTTGTGTGTGTTCCTCAGGGTTGAACTCAGAGTCTGGCACCTGCTAGAGAAGTGCTTGACACTGAGCTACCCCAAAATCCTCAGTCAAGATCTGATTAAATTCCCCACACTAGAAACTGTTTTCTCTTTCATCTCAAGAAGCAAGTAAATTCATCTTCTTGGAAAACAGGTCAGCAGTCTTTGCTACATGACAGCCATGGTCATTTAGTGCAGAGGCCGCCATTCTCCTACATCACTTCTGTCACATCTCCCGTCTCCGGTAACCTAGCGCTTGCTTGTCCCATGAGCACGGCGCTGTGCTCAGTTCTCACTTTCCCCTGTAGTTGTCAGTGCAGTACATTCTTCTAAAGAGCAGTATCAGGGTGAAGGACACACAATGGTGGGCGACATCATGTCCCAGCTCCACACTATTCCCCACCCCTCTGCTGTGCACAGCCTTTCATGGATTTCAGTAGGAAGATTCACCTTTCCCTGAGTGTGCATAGAAATAATCCTCACAAGATGGTAGGACCAGCCTTTCAAAAGCCCCACACAGGAAAACCTGCAAGGTGGGCATTTCATCAGCAGAGCTCAGCCCTAAAGGCCCAAAGCCCAGAATCATCAGACTTGGTGAACTCCTTGATTCTGGATGGCCCTGCCCCCTTTGCAAATATCTTGTTGTATTCTTGGCTTGGAATTCTTTTGCTGATAGATCGGGAAGAGTCCACAGTGAACAAGAGAGCAGATGGATCCCCTGGTCATCACACAAATAGCTAAGTGTGCTCAGCCTGGATGGGTTCCTCATAGAAATCTGTTCTGATGTCCACTGAGTGAGGCTTGCATTTGAGCCTCTGCTGTGTACATGTCACAAGTTCCTGTGTTCTGCTCTTGGTGACAGCAATTTTTTGTTGTTGTTTGTGGGGCTTGATCTTGGATCCTTGAGCTTTTCCACTCAAGGCTAGTGCTCTATTGCTTGATCAACAGCGCCACTTCCAGTTTTTTGGTGGGTTAATTGGAAATGAGTCTCACAGACTTTCCTTGTCTAGGTTGGCTTTGAACCGTAATCCTCAGATCTCAGCCTCCCCAGTAGCTAGGATTACAGGCGTGAGCCACTGGCACATGGCTGTGACAGCAATTCTTATAAACTATTTACAAGAGTCATGATGATGGGTGTCGGTGGCTTCATGCCTGTGATCCTAGCTACTGGAGAGGCTGAGACCTGAGGATCAAGGTTCAAAGCCAACCTGGACAAGGAAAGTCTGTGAGACTCATCTCCAATTAACCCAATAATTGAGATTATCTCCAATAAACCACTCAGAAAACCAGAATTGGCACTGTGGCTCAAGTAGTAGAGCGCTCACCTTGAGTTGAGAGTACCCAGACCCAAATTCAAGTCCCATAACCACCAACAACAACAAAAAGTCATGAACATGATATACAGCTCAGGCTGCTCTGAAACTCACTATCCTCTACTGGAATTGCAGCAGGAAGTACTGCACTTGAAAGCAGGCCTGAACCCCTGGCAAGCGATTTCATGTCACCCTCATGCTTACATTCAGTGGAGACTGAGCTCTGAAGGCCATACCTGGATGAATGGCACCCCGCTACAATCCCTGGCAGGCCTTTTGTGAGTGAAGCCTATAATGGATAGTCAAGTTGGGACTTCGGCTGAATACCTTGCCACAAGCGTCACACACATCCCCCCTCTCCCTGGTGTGTCTTGAGGTGGCGCTTAAGATGCGTGCGCAGCTTGAATGCCTTCCCACACTCATTGCACTGGTAGGGCTTCAAATCCGTGTGGATGGTGCGGTGGGTTGTGAGGCTGAAGTGGGAAGCAAAGGCTCTGCCACAGTCTGCACACACGAATGGCTTCTCCCCAGTGTGTGTCCTGCGGTGGCACACCAGCTGCGCGTTCCGTGTGAACATCTTCCCACACTGGGCACAGCGGTATGGCTTCACCCCAGTGTGCACGGCCTGGTGCTCGTTGAGGCTCTTGCGAGAACTCAACACCTTGCCACACGTGTCACATGTGTATGGCTTCTCCCCAGTGTGTGTCCTGCGGTGGCGCATGAGCGGTGAGTTCTGCGTGAATGTTTTGCCACACTGGGTGCAGCGGTACGGCCTCGCCCCAGTGTGCACAACCTGGTGCTGGATGAGGTACTTGCGACTGGTGAACGCCTTTCCACACGTGTCACACACAAATGGCCTCTCCCCGGTATGCATCCTGTGATGTATGACAAGGCTGGAGGACTGACGGTATGCTTTCCCACACACAGAGCACCTGTGAGGCTTCTGGTCACTGTGCACTGTCTGGTGTTTGGTCAGCTTGCCACGTGTGCGGAAGGCCTTGCCACACAAGCCACACGCATACGGCCTCTCTGTAGCATGTGTCCTCTTATGGCGCATGAGGCCAGATTTCTGTAGGAATGCCTTCCCGCAAGTGGCACAGCAGTATGGTCTCTCCCCAGCATGCGTCCTCCAATGCATGATGAGGCTGGAGTCCTGACTGAATGCCTTGCCACACTCTCTGCACTTGTAAGGCTTTTCCTGAATATGTGCTTTGGGTGTATGTGTGCGTAAGGGAGAACATATTGGAGCATCATCACATGCATGGACAATGTGTGTGTTCCCACTGGAGGGGCTCCCCTGAGGGCGGGACATGGGGGCCCTGGTGAGGGCGGACTTCTCCAGCTCAGTCCTCACCCCTGGCCCTTCACACAGGTATGGAGAGAGCCTGCGCAGGTGCTCCTGGAGGGGCCGTCCCAGCCACGGGCTTGTGGGCTGCATCCCTGCGAGACCCCCACCCTCCTGCTCTCCTCTGCCACTACCCTCTTCTCTGTGGACCATAAGCACCCCTTTAGCACAGCCGTCAGTGGCGCTCCACTCCCACTCATGTGGAGCCTTCTGGATTTCCTCGCAGGAAAACTCATCATTGACTCTGTCCCCATGACTTTGAGATATTTCTCTCCTACTGCTGCCTGTGCAGGGTGGTAAGTCTTTAAGTATATATCTAGGAGAGGTATCTGCAAGATATAAAATTCCATTCTGATTAATCATAGAGTTCAGTATTTCATACTGAAGGAGAGAATGTACAGCAAAAGTTACACAGGCAACCAGGAGCCATGGGAACTCTGAAAAGAGAAAATCCAATATGTAGGAACTCAAAAGGAATAGGATTCTTTATTGCAATGGATCATATAGAATCTACCTTATGAAAAGGCAAGTCTCATTTCAAATACCCTATAAAGAAACCATCCATCCTGAACAAATCTCACTGATAGGAACACAAGACTTTCCCCCTAAGTCACAAAAGCCATACGGTGATATAGTAACCGAGGAGAAAAAATGCCTATTTATAACATACTTAGTATGTACAAATACGTTGTAATGGTTCAGAGCCCAAAGCAGTTTACAGAATGAAGTAACTGGCAAGTTTGAATTGCAAAACAGAGAAAAGAACTGCCATACAATTTCAAAAAGAGGAGGAATTCAATACAACAATGCCAGAAAAGAAACCGAAACCAAAAACACCTGGATTATGTGCTATAAACAACCTACATATATTAGTAGTGAACAGATGTTAACATGAACAAGAGGTATCTAGCAGTTATGTTGCACAATATATGCTGAATACATTTAGATGCTGGTAAAGTTACCAACAACAACAAAAAGTAACTCATGATAAAATGATCGAGTATTTCCCCTTTAAAAAAAAAAGGGGGGGGGGGTGTTGCTGGAAAGATGGCTCAGAGTGCTTCCCTTGCATGCTTGAGGCCCTGGGTCAGATTCCTCAGCATCACATAAGCAGAAAAGGCCAGAAGTGGCACTGGGGCTCAAGTGGTAGCTGAAGAGCTAAGGGACAGTGCCCAGGCCCAGAGTTCAGGCCCTACAACCAACCAAAAATGAAAAAAAAAAAACAGCTGGGCACTGGCGGCTCACGCCTGAAATTAAAGCTACTCCAGAGGCTAAGATTTGAGGATCGCAGTTCAAAGCCAGACCAGGCAGGAAAGTCCATGAGACTCTTATCTCCAATAATTTACCAGAAGACTGAAACTGACACTTGAGCTCAAGTGGTAGAGTGCTCGCCTTGAGCTGAAGAGCTGAAGAACAGAGCCCAGGCCCCAGAGTTCAATCACCATGACAAAAAAAAAAAAAAAAAAGAAGTTGCAAAAAGTCTAAGAAGTGGAATGTCCAGCCATAGCTCTAGGTGTGCATCTGAAGGAAATGAAGTCAGAGAATAAAAGAGATGTCGGGGTACTGCACACCCACCATTAGCTGGAGAGCTAGCCTAGACCACTTCAATGGACACAGGAAATGCAGTGGAGACACAGAATGGCATATTGCTCTGCAGGACAGGGCACAAATGGAGACATTCTAAAGTCCTTTAGGGCTCACAACAGTGACACATTTGTTTTCCTACAGAAAACTTCCATTTGTGCCCAGGTTCCCCAGTTCCATCTCTGCACATCTGAACTCTTACCTGCACACACACCTTTGGCGCCTTCCCAACCATAGATCTCTCCTGGAGTTGTCACATGGCTCTGTGCCACCCAGGGCTCTTCCTCGAGCTCCAATGGCAAAATCACACTCACACTGGGAGGAGAGACTCCTGTTGATAGAAAGACAACGCACTGTGGCCTTTCCAGAATCCCCAGTCCCACGCTCATAGGAAAAGGGGACATCACACATGGATGCAAAATACAGTTCACATATTCAGCAGACTGCCTCCATCTGAACACTTCAGAGCACACTTTAATGTGCAGACAGCAACACAACAACTACTGAGTCAGAAGCACAAGGAAATCCATTCGTTCAAAGTCTGAGGTGGGCTGAGTGTGGTGTCATCTGTGTGTAATCCCAGCACTTAGAGGATCAGTGGCAAGTTCAAGCACAGCCAGGGCTATAAAGGAAGACCTTTTCTCAAAAAAAAAAAAAAAAAAAAAATGATGAGGAAGAGGAAGAGAAAGTGGAGGAGAGGAAGGAAGGACTGCCATAGTGCTTGATATGTAACACAGTGATGAGAGGACCTGCCTAGCATGTACAAAGATCTAGAGAGAGAGGGAAAGGAAAAGAGTGGAGAAAGGAGGGAAGAAGGTGAAGGGAAAAAAGGAACAAAGGAAAATGGGAGACAAGCCTGCAAAAGCTGACATGTACAGGTGCTCACTTAAGCTGTAGGACACAAGAGATAGGACAAAAGAAGGTTATTAAAGTCCAGAGGCCATGTTAGCATGTTTCTGTCCCTGAGTTGGTGGACCTTTATGTCTAGTCAAGGAACGTGGGACTCTCCAGGCAGCACTCAGGGGAAACCTAGGCCAAGAGTAAAACTCCCAACTTGTGCAGGGAGGGGTGCTCACCCACAGAGACCAGGTTCCTGTAGGTGTCCAGCATGACGTCCCTGTACAGAGCGCGCTGAGCCCGGGTCAGGCACCGCCACTCCTCCTGGGTGAAATCCACCGCCACATTCTCAAATGTCAACTGTCCACAAGGAGAAAATCCAAAAGCATTTCACACACATCCATGGACTCAAAAAAAGTATTACATGGAATTATAATCAATGCCTACCATCAAAAAGCAATCAGGGAAACTTCAGGATTTTACAATTTGTAAAAGTTCTTTGATATGACACCCAAAGCAAAAAAAAAAAAAGGACATGGAATTGTACATCCCAGCATTCTTCAGAGTTAGTGGGGAAGTATGATGAACACGCCTAGAATCCTAACCAGTCCAGGAGCCCGAGATCTTAGGATCAGGGTTCAAAGCCAACTGGAACAGAAAAGTCCATGAGCCTCTTGCCTCCAATGAACTACCAAAAAGGCCAGAAGTGGAGCTGTGACTCAAGTGGTAGAGCAACAGCCTTGGGCAAAAGAGCTCAGGACAGCACCCAGGCCCTGAATTCAAGATGCAGGACTGGGTGCTTGGTGAGGAGGGGGACCAAAAGCTGAAAAGAAAACCAGCAGAGAGGTTTCAGCAAGCACACAGGAACACTTGATGGGTGATGCTCTCCTGTGCCCACACCCAGTAGAGGGGACAGGGCTGAGGGAAGGCGTGGGGGACATGAGCACACATGGCAGGCAGGCAAGCACCAGCACAGTCAGAGCCCAGGCCAGCTCTGTGCACAGGAAGGAGACGCCACATGGCTTTACCTGAGTCACAGCCGCCATCCCTGCTCCTTGGCTTTCCTCTTCCTCCTCAGGTAATACCACTTTCCAGAAGTCAGTCCTGAGTGCTGAAAATATCCCGTTTAGTGCTCACACCCAACATGCACTCTCTGTGCCCTGGCCACAGCTCAGGGAGAAGATGGTCCTGTTCTGCCCACTCATGGGGTGATGGTGAGTGCCAGTCCTGGGAATGGAACTCAGGAACTGGGCCCTGTGCCTGAGCTTGTTTACTCAAGGCTGGTGCTCTACCACTTGAGCCACAGCTCCACTCTTGCTTTTGGCAGTTAACTGGAGCTAAGATTCTCCTGGAGGAGTTGAAGCACCACAGCTCCTGAACAGAAAAACATCAGATACCAAGTTTCCCAGTCTGTACCCTAAAAACAACAACAACAAATGTATGGGACATTCCTGCCCAGGCTGACGTCAAACCTCCATCCTCACATCTCAGCCTCCTGAGTGGCTAGGCTTACAACCATGGGCCCTGCTCCTCTCCTTGTAACCCATGACCCCTCTTTCCCATGGACCAAATGGCTCTGCACAACTACAAATCTTTCTCCTCTCCTATTCGGAAGTGCTCCCACATTTCCTGCACCCCACCACCTATGTGATGTCTTGGATCCTTCTAGAGATGGAAATTCTAAACTTCTCTCTTTGCTTTCCTCTCTGCTGTTCCCTTTGTGGCTTTTGCTCTTTCCATGGATTCTTTGCAAAGCCTTCAGTGCACTCTCTACTTTCCCAGCAGCTGTGGAGGCTCAATCTCCTTTTCCTGTTTTCCCGATTTCTTGTCATTCTTTCTTTCTGATGATCCTTTGCCCTTCCCACAGCCCCAAGTACAGGCCCGGTATAAGAAGGCAGGCCCCAGGTTGCCCTTCCCCACCCCGAGGTTGGCCTGGGGTAGGCTGAGGAAGGGCCAGCGCAGGGGAGGGTGGGCCGGGTCTCAGGACCACAGAGATCAGCGATGGGGGAGCTTGGCCAGGGACTGAGCCCGCCGGGACCAGGGCCGGGCTGGGATGGGGATCAGTGGTCGGGGCCCGATGTGGGGGTGGAGCCGACGCCGGGGCCGCGGCGGGGGTCGCCGCGTGGGCAAAGCTGGGGGTTGGGGCCAGGCCGGGGGTTGAGCAAGGGACAGTGCAGGTGGAGGGGGTTCGCGGATGGTACGGGGATGGAATTCGGGGCTGGAGGGCCGCGGCTGGGGCCGGGAGTCCGGGGCCTTTGTCCGGACGCCTTGGCCTGGGACCCGGAGGCCGGGGTCTGCGGTCGGGGGAGGGGAGCCAGCGGGTCCCAGACCCCCGGCCGGGCCCGGAGGACCATGTGGAAGATGGTGCCGGGGGCCGGGGACCGAATGTCTAGACATGGGGCCCAGGGTCGGGGTCGAACAGGAGCCGAAAGGAGCAGGGGCCGCGCCCACCCCGCCCTCGCCCCGCGCGCAGCGACGCGGGGACGCCCGGGTCCGGACGCCACGGTCGCGCCAGGGCCGGCGGAGATCAGGGAAGACCGGCCGGCAACCCAGGCCGCCGGGCAGGAGGGCCGCGCGGGGGCTCCGGAGACCCCTACCCCGTCGTGGGGCGCAGACTTACTCTGGCTCGGGAGACTCGTGGTCTGCACCACGAACTTCCGGTTACGCCATCCGCTTCCTAGTCTGAGGCGAGCTGCGCGCGCAGAAAGCGAGGAGGGCGGGCTTGGGGGCGTGGCAAGCAGGGCGGGAGCCTGCGGCGGGGGCGGGGTGATCTGGGTGAGGCTTTGGAAGGAGCCAATGGAAAAGTGGAATGGGCGCCGCCAGAAGGAAAGCCAACCTATTGGACCAGTGCTGGAGCGTGCTCTGGCCTGGGCCAGAGAGCAAGTGGGCGTGGCCTACCTGGACTGAGAGTGGCAAATGGGTGGAGTCAGGGGGGACACTCCCGGCTTCGGAGGATGCTGCCTGGGCGGGGCCTGGGTGCGGAGGCGGGCCTGGTTGGGGGCGGGGCCAGAGTGCTGAGGCGACGTGGTGCTGAGGGCGGAGTCTTCATGCTGAGGCGGGCAGATTGCTGGTGGCGGAGTCAGGCTGCTGAGGCTGGCGGGTACAGTGGGCAAAGGCAACGTGCTGAGGCAGGTAGGGTCCTGGGGGCGGAGTCGGGGTGCTGAGGCGGGCCAGCTACTGGGGGCGGAGTCGGGGTGCTGAGGCGGGCCGGGTGTTGGGGGCGGAGCCAGGCTGCTGAGGCCGGCCGGGTGCTAGGGACGGAGTCAGGGTGCTGAGGAGAGAAGAGTGAGTTGCTGCAAAAGAAGAGAAGGAGATAAGGAAGCCAAAGGAGGGAGAAGAGAAAGGAACAGAGGAGAAGCAGATGGGGAGGATTGCAGAATGGAGAGGAGCGAGGAGAGACAGAGAGGATAAAGAGAGAGGTAAGATCAGAGGGAGCAGAATGGAGAGAGGGGAGAGGGGAGTGGAGGGAAAACGGGAGAAAAGACAGAAAAGAGAGAGGAAGAGAGGGAGAGGAGAGAGACCAGAAAGGGTGTGAGGAGAGGAGAGGTGCTACAGGGGAGAGGAGAAAGAAGGAAAGAGAGAGAAGACAGGAGAGAGAAGAGTGGAGAGGAGAAAGAGAAGAGAGAGCAAAGGAGAAGAGGAGAGAAGACAGAAGGGGGCAGCAGAGAGGCGAGGAGAGACAGCCAAGAGAACCGGACATAGAGGAGGAGAGAGGAGCCAGGAGAGAGGGAAGAGAAAACAGGGAGAGAGGAAAGAGCAGAGAGAGGAGCGGGGAGGAAAAGGGAATGGAGGGAATGAGAACAAAAAGGGAGAGAAAAAGCAGGGCAGGTCCATACGCATCTGTGGGGCACAGGCGCGGTGGAGTTCTGAGATTAGAGATGAATGTGAACAGTTCCATTGTTTAGACATATGTCATTTGCAGGGAATGGATGGACCTAGAAGGGACCATGTCTTGTGAGGAAAACCAAGCCTAGAGAGACAGGGTGCACATCTAGTCTATGTGGAAGTTAGGTCAACAGTATAAGTGGACATGGTAAATTACACAGAATGCTAGACATCACGTGCGCGCGCGCGCACACACACACACACACACACACACACACACACACATCAAGTCAGACTAAAGGAGGATCCCCTTAGGGGAGGAAATCAATGGTGTGAAGTTTCTGTTTATTTTTTGGTTGGTCCTGGGGCTTGAACTCTGGACCTGGGCACCTCCTGCACTGCAGATAACAGCCTTACACATAAGATGAGCCTGGCACATGTCTGCCATTGTGAACAGAATGGCAGAATCTGCAAGGGCCAAACATCACAGGAAGGTTTGGAGAGGTGCTCACACCAGATGAGAACATTCTGGGTGTTTAACTATTGACCAGTGCCTAGGATAGGGGTCATTTTGCTTCGGTTCCTAAGACATACCAGCTCATAGTCTGTGAAGAATATAGAAGTTGTCACCCATTTCCCCCTGAGTTGCAGGGACTCAGCTGTGCTCTACAGTGATGATCCAGTCTTAGCCAAAGCCTTAGCCCTGGTCAATGATCAAGTATTTCAGGTGAGACACACAGGATTTGGAGATGCTAGGCTCCGTTGCCATGGTACCCACCAGCATCCCATAGCTTGTGTCCCCAGGCAGGCTCATCAGCTCCCTGCATGGTGCCCTGCACGTGACAGCAGTGATGTGGCTGTGGGAATGACCTTCAGACCGCAGTTATAGCACGGACCCGAGTGCAATTCCTACCTTCTCTGCCATCACCTGTCTGTCCCATGTGGGGTGCAGGCTGACACCCACAGACTCCGTCCTAGAACATCTGAGGATCCCTCACCCTTGTCTCCTGAACAGAGCTGCTCCTCAAGCACTGCTGGAGGAGGTCACACCACAGATATGCTGTTCATGAAACTCACAATGGGCTCCATGGAGATAATCCTATGAGACACCAGCAGAGAATCAGACAGGTGCAGGAACCGCAGCTCCAGCCCCTCCGTGTCCTTCCTGGAGTCCAGACCTCCATGGACATCCTGCTGCCCTTGAGTACCTGGGCTGCTTGCACATGCCCAGCCAGTTTCTAGTGAGCACAGCGGCTATGGTTTCCAGGTGTTTTGCAATGTGAGTCCCTTTCTGCCCCTGAACCAGGACTTGAGTGACTCCTGCCTCTGCTTGGCCAGGATCAGGAAGAGGAAAATCTTCTCACTTCTCAGGACACATGGACAATTGCTGTGTGTGCAGCTCTCAGTTTTCCTTTTCACATCTGTGTGGTCTTTGGGCTGCAAACACTGGAGGCACCCCTCAAGCACACCCCAAGAACTTAACACCCTCCTGTATTTCTTTTCTCAGTCGTGGTGCTTGAACTCTGGGCCTGGGCGCTGTCTCTGAGCTCTTCAGCTCAAGGTAAGCACTCTACCACTTGAGCCACAGCACTTCCCGTTTTCTGGTGGTTATTGGAGATGAGAGTTTTATGGAATTTCCTGCCTGGGCTGGCTTTGAACGGTGATCCTCAGATCTTGTTTTGCTCGGACTCACTACCCCGCAAAGTCCACCAGATACCAAGATCAAAGTAAGCAACGAAAGAGTCGTTTATTGCAAGCTTGAGCTTGGTCCTCTGCACATTCAGTAACTGATTGACACTAAGAGGCCCTGAGCATAGAATCAGAACAGCTTATATAGTATTGAACAAACAACTTCAAGGAACTTTTACATGAGAAATTACATGATTGGTTGACATTTAAAGCAAGGTAAGCTGGACAAACATGATTGGTTAACATTGTTATTGATGCGAATTGTCTGACTACTGGGTCATGGTGTCCTGCATGGCCACCCCGTGTCTGACTGATGCATCTGGAGGAAATTCTTCTGGTTTTTCTCAAGGATTATTTATGTCCCTAATTGCCCAAGCATTGTTTTTCTCTTTGTGTAATTCCTGGGTCAGGCTCATGGTCAATTCCATGACTCATACCTCACAAGATGGTTACTGGCTTAAAGATAGAATCACTCAGGCATCAGGTTCTTCATTCCCCCCTTTCTGACATGCACCTTAAGGGCCAATCATGGTCCTTATGGGCACACATCACATTCTCCATTGGGAACCAGTTGATATTCAGCCTTTAAGACCATCATTGTACAGTGTTAATGTGTTTCTAACAAACATCACTAGCCAGTTTACAACACATGGCCCGAATGTGAGTACCAGCACCACTAAGATGATGGGGCCCAGTAAGGTGGATATCAAGGTGGTCAACCAAGGAGAGTAATTGAACCATGAATCAAACCAACCTTCCTGCTGTTTTCTTTCCCTTTTTCATTTTCCTAGTCCTTCAATCTTAGCCCCCTGAGTAGCCAGTATTCCAGGTATGAGCAACCAGGGACCGCGCTCAATTACTTTTTCTAACAGCATAAATGACGATGCAATCAAATGAGATTAAGAATAGAAGATGAGGGGCTGGGAAGGTAGCTCGATGGAAGACTGTTTACTTCACATGCATGAGGCTCTGAGTTCGATTCCTCAGCATCACATAGCAGAAAAAGCCAGAAGTGGCACTGTGGCTCAAGTAAGTGGTAGAGTGCTAGCCTTGAGCTGAAGAGCTGAGGAACATCGCCCAGACCCAGAGTATGAGCCCCACAACCAACAAAACAAAACAAAAAAAAGAATAGAAATTGAAATATTTAGGCATATTCTCAAGAATATGTAAGTCCTTGAACACCATATCCATTGCGGCATGATTCACCACAGCCAAGAAACAACCCAGAAGCTCCATGGTGTCTGCAGAGAAATGAGTGACACTGGTCATATAGAGCAAAGTCAGCAAGTTCAGAGCAGTGGAGTCACAGGCCCAACTCTGGATGAATGCATAAAGAAGATGTAGCCTATTTCCATCACAAACTACAACTAAGCCAGGAACAAGAAGTAAATCCTGTCATCTGCTGCCACATCTGTGGAAGTAGAGATTGCTGTGGAAAATGCAAGAAATCAGACACAGAAAGGCAAATGCATGTTCTTGAAACAGACAAGAACAGGGCAGAGGAATTGTCAGCAAGACCAGAAGGGTCCAGGTGAGGAATGGAGTCACATGCAATGAGGTAGACCAGAAACCCAGGGTGAGGAGTCACTGCTGATCCTCTCCTGAGCACAGTGACAAATTTCTGCTTCAAAATCACCACTGCTAACGATGAAAATGAGTAGGGAATTAGAGAATGAAGCTACCTCCTCAGAAACGACCAGGCATGAAAACAGATCGCTCGTCACCCTGCTTTCAGGAATGTCCTTTGAAGGTCTACATCCAAGTCCCTTATGGGGTCTCTAGGAATGAAAACATTTTTAGAAAAATGATGATTAGGTTGGGAAGGTGGCTCAGTGGTAGAGTGCTTGCCTTGCATGCATGAGGCCCTGGGTTGGATTCCTCAGCACCACATAAGCGAAAAGAAAAAATGCCGGAAGTGGCGCTGTGGCTCAAGTGGTAGAGCGCTAGCCTTGAGCTGAAGAGCTGAGGGACAGCGCCCAGGCCCAGAGTTCAGGCCCCACAACTGGACCCATAAAAAAAAGAAAAAGAAAAATGATGATTAAAGCCAGGTGCCAGGGAGTCACGCCTGTAATCCTAGCTACTCAGGAGGCTGACATCTGAGGATATAGGTTCAATTCCAGCTCGGGCAGGAAAGTCCATGAAACTTTTTTGTTTTTTTTTTGGGTGCGGTCG